CTCCAACAGTAATAGGGTGGCATCAGTGCACAGCACAGGGGAGGTGGCTAGCAGAAACAGGGTACTGCAGTAGAGTTAAGCCCCCTTTTTGCCACTGAAAATGGGTGTTTAACTGGCATTCAAGACACATTTTGGTGACCAAAAAAGAATGCGACATTCCCCCCATTCAGCAGCAAACCTCCAGCTGCTGCTCCTGCACTGTTGCCACCCAGAGTGAAGAACTAGTTACACCCCTGCCTGAGGCTAGATGTCTGACATGGAGGGTGTAAAGCTGAACCTGAACAACTTCTTTGGCCTGTAGAAATCCAGGCCCTCCCTGCCTTGTTTAAGGAAGAAAATAAAAGGGTGTGGAGGAAACAGCTGCTTTTTCCCTTGTTCTGAAGAAGCAGCGAAAAATCCAGACACTGTGCATTTCACCTTTTTGCAGAAACTTATATCCTTGTTCTTTTTGTCTCCCAAACATCCCTAATTGGATGTATCTAAACACAAACAAGGGGGAGTTAGAAGTTTGTTTTTTGCTTTGCTTTTTTTTAAAAGCAGATGCACCGAAGACCATATGACTGCAGCCCTGTGACTATTAAGGAACTAGGGAAATGTTAAATTACTCTTTCCCTCAAGCTTTCATTATAGAAACAAAGGTGTACTGTAGCATCACTTTGTCAGAATGCTATTCTGCAAGGGTGAGTAGGTAGTTTGGAAAGTTTTATATTTTCAGTAGCAACTGGTCATTATTTAACTACTTTGAGCAATTAGTAGTAAGTAGAGAACTTACGTAGTGAATTACCTGGCAATACTTCCGGGGGTGTTGGTTGTAGCTGTGTTGATCTAAGGACATAAGCAGACAAGGTTCTTTGAGCAAATGTCATCACATTTACCCAAAGAACGTTGTGTGGCAATATTTTAAAACCTTATCTAAGTGATAGTACTATTAGAGGACAATAAGCTGAATGTGAGCCAACAGTGTTCCCTTGCCAAGAAGCCTAACAGCATACAGGCCTGCATTAGTAGGGGCGTTGCCAGCAGGTCAAGATAAGTGGTTCTTCCCCTCTATTCATCACTGTTGAAGCCACATCTGCAGTACTGTGCCCAGTTTTAGGGCCTCCACTACAGAAAGGATGTGGACAAATTGGAGAGAGTCCAGTGAAAGGCAACAAAAATGGTTTAGGAGGCTGGGGAGAATGACTTCTGAGGAGAGGCTGAGGGAACTGGGCTTATTTGGTCTGGAGAAGAGAAGACCGAGGGGAGATTTAATAGCAGCCTTCAGTGACCTGAAGGGTGGTTCCAGAGAGGATGGAGCTGGGCTGTTATCAGTGGTGGCAGGTGACAGAACAAGGAGCAATGGTCTCAAGTTGCAGCAAGGCAATTTTAGGTTAGACATTAGGAAAAACTTTCTCACTAGGACGGTATTGAAGCACTGGAACAGGTTACCCAGAGCGGTGATGGAATCTCCATCCTCAGAGGTTCAAGACCTGGCTAGACAAAGCCTTGACTACATCACCCCAGTCAAAGCTTTGTCTAGGTGGCTCTTAAAAACCTCCAAAGATGGAGATATGTAGTTGGGAATGGCCCTGTTTTGAGCAGGGGGTTGACTACATGACCTCCTGAGGTCCCATCCAACCCTAATTTTGTATGATCATAGTACCGTTAGTTTCAAGTTGGATTTCAAGATTGAAGGGGCTTGGTATATTTAATCTGGAGAAAAGGAGATTGAGGGCAGGGGACACGATAGCAATATTCTAGTATTTGAAAGTCTACCCTAAAGAAGATGGAGAAAAATTATTTTCTCTTGCCATAGGGAGACAGATAAAAGGCAGTGTGTTGAAACAGCAGCAAAGCAGATTTACAGGAAGTCTTGAGTAACACTTCTGAACAATAGGGCAATGGAATCAGCTGCCTTGGGTAGTAGTGAAATCCGTTTAATTGATTTTCAAGAAGAGGTTGAGATAAACATCTGGCTTGGACGGTTTAGGAACAATTAATCCTCTATCTGTGCAAGCAAGAGTTACATTAGTCAACCTTTGAGATTTCTTCCAACCACAAATTGTTGTATGATTCCATGACTTCTGTCCCAAGATTACCCAGATGGTTAATGGCAGGCAGAAATCTCTGGCTTTTGCATCTGATCCCCAACACCCAGTCCAAACAACTGTTGGTATTTGTTAGAATTTGGGTGAGCCCATTGTTTGGCAGAGAGGGACAGAAAAGATCATAGAATCATAGAAGTAGGGTCGGAAGGGACCTTGTAGATCTTCAAGTCCGACCCCCTGCCTGGGCAGGAGAAAAACTGGGCTCAAATGACTCCAGCCAGGTAGGCATCAAGCCTCTTCTTAAAGACCCCCAGGGTAGGAGCCAGCACCACTTCCCTTGGAAATTGGTTCCAGATTCTAGCCACCCTAACTGTGAAGTAGTTCTTATGGCTATCTAAACTAAACCTACTTTCCAACAACTTGTGGCCGTTATTCCTTGTTATGCCAGGGGGCGCTAGGGGAAACAAGGTCTTTCCTAAACCCTTCTGGTCCCCCTAGTGAGTTTATAGACGGTCACCAGGTCCCCCCTCAGCCTTCTCTTGTGAAGGCTGAACAGGTTCAGGTTCCGCAGTCTCTCATTGTAGGGTCTGCCCCTACAGATGTTGGTTTCAAATAAGTAATAGAACAAGTTCCCATTGCAGAAAGAATTAAAATCGTGTTTTGGCAGTCTTACAGAATGTTAAATGTGTAAAGCACATGGTTTATTAAGTCTATTAATTAGCTTGTTACTTAATTTTTAGGAGGGAGGACAGTTAGGACAATGCTAACTTAAATGTCTCTCCCACTAGCGTGGTACAGTTGTTTAGGAGCCAGGCTACACTGATACCTTCCTCTTTTCCAACTATAAAAGTGTTAATTCCATGTAAATTTGGAAATGCTATATCATGCCCTACATATATTAACTTTTAGACCTGTATGAAGCATTTAGGTTCTTAAATTGTTAATAAACTTCATTTATTAAATAGTTGAGCCTATTCTTGGTTATCATTTGAAATGTAAAGTCATTATGAATTGCTGCTCATCTCTTGGAACTAACAAAGTCCAAATAATCCTGATAAACCACATACATTTTACGTGGGACTGTCAGTTAAAAGTTTATCCTTTTGCTTGTGGTAGTCACTATTTCTTTAGTTCTTATATGAAAAATATAAAGATGGGGGGAAAAGATAAAAAATCAGCCTATTTAATCCTGACACATGTTACTGCATCCATGCTAATTCAGTTGTTTTACTGTCTTTACATAAGGACTGGTGGCACTCACTTTATAGGAGAATAATGCTTCTCAGAACTGCAATGATACTTTAAAAATATTTACAAACTGAAATAGGCACCTCATGACAATTCTTTGGAATCTCAGACAGACTTAGAAACAGTTTCAATGTATATTTAGTGAACATAGATTTAGAACAGCAGTGACAGTTATAGTTCTTACTGGATTACATTGGAAACATCAATATTTGAGATGCCATATAAAAGCTTAATTACAATGCCTGAAACTAGAAAGTAAAATAATGAAGTGTATACAGTCCCTGTATTACATGTTTGCCTTACTATAATTCATCTAGTTGCCACAGATTTAGTAACAATATTTGCATTTAATTGAAAAATATATTGTTTTAGATGGTTGTCTTTTAATTTTTTTTTAAAGGAGGACAAAATACCCCCTATATTAATCATCCAGTGCTGCTTCATACATCAGTCAATCTAATTTCAGAGTTTTCTGGTTGAAAAGTTATAAAAAATCAATAACAAATGTTTGAGATTAATTTAAATACCATGGATATTAATCAATTGATTTTTCTGCTACTAATGATCGCACCGATATTTTTAAGTAGGATAACTGAGGCCTACTAGCAATCAATATTAGTTGATTATTTGGCAGAACAGCTAACTGAAAGAAGTTTTACTTTTCTAAAATTTCACATGCCCTACATGTGGAGCAAAGATTTTACTGGTATATGGCTGGGCATGAATCATTAGCTGGACACCACAAACTGTAGTTAACCAACTGAACATGGCACAGCGAAACTAACTTGAATTTGTATAGGATTAGCTTCAGATATAAATAAATCTGAACTCTGTAGAGAGTTAGGTGAATACTAAGAGTGAGTTCACCATGTGGGATTGCTTTTAAGTGAGAATCTGCAGCCGATACCTGTATTAGCATGATGTTACTAATTAGCCCAATGCTACTGATATTATACATTTTTCCCTCTCTGTCTGACATTATAAAAGCTAGTTCCACATTTAAGTGTTTCCAGTACTGCTTTAGATGAAGCCCTAGCTTATATTTTATGTTGTCAAAAATGTTTACAAAACTAAAACAATGGATTATTCTTTTGCCTTCAAAATTAGTTTGTTGCCATGATTTTTCTGATAGTTGTGATTCTTCTGCTTCTAAATTACATCTATTAGGTTTAGCAGTATAACTGTTACTGTAACAGATCCTGTGTTTTTGTGAAGATGTTCTATGCTGCATAAAAAGATTGTCAAAATACTTTTTCCCAAATATAACAATCTGTGTAAGAATTTTTTTAAATTTATATGTAGCATTAAGTGAAGTAAAATATTGCTAATTCATGACTATGGTTGAGACATCTGTTGTTGATTATTGAACTTTGCAACTATCAGACAGATTTCAAAAATAATAATATATGTTTATTTGCTTTTGGCATATTTGTAATTGAGTTCTAATTTGATATTAGTCTAAGTAAACATTATTAGTAAAAATAACTTTATCAAAAATACATAGCTTAAAATACATAGTGTTGCATTGGTATTACATCTGTGCTGGTGAGAGGTTAGGTTGGGGGTTTTTTGTTAGATTTAGTAGGCTTTTGGATTAGCAGAGTAAAAACCCAAGCGGTAAATTCATCAGTATCAGTTGATTTAATCATCACATTGAAGTAAATGTATATGCATAGAGCATTTTGTTACAAAACATTTGATAATCTCTCATTTCTCTTTTGTTAGCACAAAGGATAATCACTTCAATGTTAGCATTCAGCCCTCTGTTGGAGAACTGCTTTTACCTGTCACTATGTCAGAGAAGGATTTTATGAAAGAGCAAGGTGAGATTTTTTTATTTAAGTAACACAGATAAAGGTGTTTGATTTTGTTTTAATTCATTTCCATATCTGTATACATAGGCAGACATATTATTGCGTGTAGCTATTAGTACCATTCTGTGCATTCTCTTTCAATCTGATACTAATGACTACATTTAGAGAATACCTTCAAATGTACTACTTGACATCTGTTTTAAAACACCTTTGAAAAACCACCCCCCGTACATAGTACATAATCAACCTTTGGCCCTTGGGAGTTTTGGTTTCCTAACATAATGCACTAATGCATTTCATATTAGTGCTAATGGCAGGAATTTGGGACCCATCAGCTCCAAGAAATAAACCAAACATGTATTTATGCAGTGTGTGTTTTTATTAGTTCGCATCCCGGCACTGTTACAAGCATATAGTTAATGTACTTTCTCTGCCAATTACTTTGAAGTTAGCCACAATCTTACCCCCTTAAAACAATGCTTCTTACTATAAAAAGAAAAAGATTTCCTGCTGGACCAACCTTTTTAAAAGGAAGTTTGTTATTTCATAGACCTCAGCAAGCATTTTTTTGAACGTTGCACTTTTTAAATATTATGAGTGATTCTAGGCCAAACACAAACCTATGCAAATAAATTTAGTGGTTTGAATAGCTCTTTTATAATGAATAATACAAAAATTGTAGCTGGTTTGATACACATGTTAAATTGAACGATCGAAGATGCTACAGTGAATTTGAACAAAATTCTTGCGTCTTTAAGTTCTAAATGCTTGAGTTTTGGAGGCATTCAAATTTAATGGTGTATTCTCATCCATCTCAATGTATGGGGATTTACATGTATAAATGCCTCCACATTGAGATGAGAATATACCCATGGGACACAGTCTCATTGCTGTGTAAAGCTCAGAAACCTAGTATATTTATCAAAGCAGTCAAGAACACCAACGAGTAATCTTATGCAATGCTATGTATTATTAATAACACTTTTGCATCACTTCTTTCTTCTATATTTTTGAATGATTAAGAATGAAGTCTAAGTGCTACTTGTTTCATTTTCTGTGAAGTTGATCACTACAGTGAAAAGTTAGGATTGTGATTTTTTTTTCTTAACCAATTGATACTTATTTGCTGTTCTTACCCTTTGCTGGCTAAAGCCTGCCTCACTGTCTTACACCTGCTCAGCAAACCAAGGTGAGTGATTGAATGAGGCTTTAGCATATTTATTTTAAACTGTTCCCTTCTGAAAAAACTGTAAGCTAAGGAGATATGCTGTAAGTAAAACAAACAAACAAAAAAAGGTTATTGTACTCCCTCCTCACCATTTTTTATTTGCTTGCTTCTTGATATTTTGATAGAGTTTTTGCGTGCTTTGCTTTGACTGAGGGTTTTTTTCCTGACTGGCCATACAGAACCATGAGTACATAGAAGGAGTGCACTTGGAGAATAGCTGTAGTCCTCTGTGGAGTTGTTGCCAAAATTCCTTTTTCTTCTGCCATTTTACTTCTATGGTTGTTGATTATTTGTCTGAATAAATCTGGCAGCTGTTTGCTATGTTTAATAGAGCAGAAAGGCTACTCTGAATAAAGCTATTTGAAAATTTGTTTATATGAAGTATTTGTAAATCCATGAAGGTCTCTTGGCATTTCTGTATCGGTCTTTCTGTCTTCCTGAATTCATTCTTTGATGCAGGGCTTGATGCTGGCAAATTTACCATAGGTTTAAAAGCCTTTTCTATAGCATCTTTTTATTTATAGATTTCAGGTGTTTTAGAAAATTCTTGGTAATAGAGGTCTCAGTTGTAAATTTTACACATGTATTTATTTGTTACACAAATCTAGGAACAGCTGTGAGAGTATTTTGAGAGAATTCCTATATAATCTTGGTAAATAAAAATACCAAATCACAGAAAGAAATGAATTTCCTCTGACTTCTAGCAAGATAAACCTTATTAGGAGAAAATGCAGCCCAGTTTAGCTTAGTTAGCATACACTGTTCCAGTTTGTATTTTTAACTCGGATTTTTCTATGTTATCTAAATGAATGTGGTTTTGTGAACCTCCTCCCCGCATTTTCCATAGTTTTTTTCCCCCTTATTTTAGATGCACAATATTTCTTTTATCCAAAAATGCTTTATTTTGTCTCCATTTATATATTCAAAGTTAGTAGCTATGAAATAGTGGAAGGATGAGTGCAAGTTCATAGGGGGGAAAATGAGAATGCACATGGATTTTTAGGATTTTTAATTTAACTTGCATGTTCATTCTAATAAGTATGCTAAGGTTGGAGTACAAAATATTACATTGATATGCAAGAAAACAGCTCATTGTTTCACACCTTTACTCAATTATGTTATGTCGCTTTGTCTGTCTCATTTTCTGTATTTCCACCTCCCTGATGGCATAAGGAGGGGGGAACAGGCAGGTTGCTGAATATTCATGTTTTTTTAAGGTTTTCTAGTGGTAGCAGTAGGAAATAGAAGCTGTATATTTAACCACATGCTCAGTGTTATATTTTGAGCCTTACCATACTATATTACTTTGTCCTTAATTGTGCATTGGGAAACCTCTTTCAGGGTAATTCATTTCCTATTCTAACATAATCTTGAGCAGCAGTTAAATTAATGTGGTTTTGTGATTAACCATTTTGAAGCAATAGATTAACATGGTATTACCAAACTACATTGGTCTTTTACTTTGTGATTGAAAGACTTGTTCCAGTGTTTAAGCCTCAGCATTTCATGCCTGGCCCTGCAGCATTTGGACAAAATTCCTTTTTGTTGTAGTGGGAATTCTGACCAAGTAAAAACTAGCTTTGGGGCCTCTGCCATCTTATAATTTTTTCCTGCCTTTGCTCCTTTTGAAATCAGTGGCAATGCTCCAATTGGCTTGAATGGGAGCAGAATTGAACTCAATTTAATCTCAGATACATAATACATTTGATGTTATGTATCAGTATTATTTTTTCCAATTTTCCTTCCTTTTATCATTCAAACTATGTACTCTTGTTATTCTACCAATCAATTTACCCAGATTATTTGCCATTTTGTGCTTTGACCAGAGTTTTCTTAGATTCCAGTGAGTAATGTAACATTAAAGATGGCACATGTTTCTTATAACTAGATATTAATCATTCTTTCTATCATTAACATTTTTATTTTGAAAATGTATGTGCATGTAGTAGTAATGATGTACTATGTTTTGCAGTCTGTTTCAAGATACATTTTTAAATCATTTTGTAAAATTCTTAAATGTGAATATAATGGGTGCACTTTAATCCAGAAAAACATGATTTAAAAAAACACAGAATGTTTACTTAATTTTATTAAGATTTATGCATCCAACTTGTGTTCCTAACAAGCAAGTTGCTAATTCTTTAAATGGTCAGACATTTACTATTTTCTGGCCCTTAACTACCACAAGCAATCATATTTGATGCCCCTTAATTAGAGCACCTTTTTTTCTTTCCAGGTTCTTTTCCACCTCAGCAATCGAGACAATACATTTGCTTACCACGCTGCTCTCCTAAGTGTTCTTTTGCATGTAAATTAATCTTGATTCAGTTTACACTGTCATGCTGAGTGGTACAAATTGCCTATAACAATAAAACAGCATGAGTTAAAAATAAAGGGGGGTGGAAAGGCAGATTGAATGTGTGCCTTACTTGATAGGATGTTACTTTGCTTTATGCCAATACATTAGTCGACGATAATGAATCTTCTGTTCTGAAAAGCATGGTTTAGTTGATTTTTTTTAATTTTACTTCAATGGAGCAGTACCTTGTCTTTTATAGAGCAAGTTAGACAAACCATTAATGACAAGAGTGTTAAGGTTAAATATGAAGCAATGCATTCACTTTTCTGAGTGCTATCCATCTTTCCATTTACAGGAGCTTGACAAAAGTACTGGCTTTGTACAACATTTCCTTTAATTACATGCTGCGGGAAACAGGCTTTTAACATAAACATAGTTGCATTCATTTATTCAGCATTTGCTCTTCAATAGAGCTTAATGGAGAAGGTTTAAATCCTAAATGAGTACACACATCTCTCAGCAGTGTTATGTCAGTCCCTGTGCTCTGCTTAAAAGCAGTTTTAGACTGCTTATGTAGTTTTTAAAGCTTTTGCCTAATATTGAAGTTAAACAATTTGAAACAGAATGTACTGTTCCCAAGCTAATGCTGATCTTTATATAAGTTGGGTATTTGTTTGCTCTTTTCATGAGTAAATCATATTCCAAAATATTCCTTTATGGCTCATCAACTACTTTATTTTACCTTGTGTTTCAGGGTTTGCAACGAAAACTAATTCAAATTATAGTACATGAAAATGTTCACTTTTAATTTTTAATCAATTTATAGGCATTTTAATAGAATTTACAATATATTGTTCCTAAAAAGGTTAGGATTTTTGAGAGTTTTAAATAGCTTTGATTAGGTAAATTTTATTGTGGATATAAATATTTAATGCTGCTTTTAATGCTTCACATTTCTACTTAAGGTACAAGATTCAATACTTTTTAGCATGTAAACGCAATATATTCCTTCTGGATTGTCATGTAAGGATACGTGCACTGTGTTAAACTCTAGGTACTTTCATTCTGGATTTTAATTGACGTTGATGTCTTGGTAGCATGCTGTTCTAACCAGTGAATGTTCATGTAAGAAGTGGAGTTTTATTATACTCTTATTTTTATTACGTCTTTTCTTCATGTGTTTGCATAGAAGGTTGACACCTTAGTTTTATTTTGTACTGATGCTTAAGCTATTTTAATTATAGTTCATTGTGACATTTTAAAGAGACTGATGCTAGCTGATTATCCAAGTTTCTAATTTGATAACTTTATGTACTAAATTGATCTGTTGACTACTCTCTGAATTTCAGGATTATTTTTAGCAAACTGATATAAAATAATTAAGCAGAGTGGTGTTCATGGTTAGAAGTTTAAAAGAATTCTTTATACTTGGTCTATAGTTCAAGTATAATTTATTTAATATTTCGTCTCTGTATGTTTGCTTTGCTCTTACGTATTAAGTGCTCTTTCTGAAAAAGAGCCACTTTGGTTACACAGTTGCATTAACTGCATAATGATCTGTGTAATGGTATTAGTACATTTTTCAATGAGGATTTATTTTAACATGTTAATTGGGAGGTTTTTCACATTTAACAAGTTTAACTTTTTTGTAAGTTTCTTTTAGAAAATATAGGAAAACATGGTTTTAGAAGTCTCTTGGTTTGGCCTTATTCAGTAACAGACCAATTTATCAGTTCCTCCTAGCTTGCTTTAAAAAGTATATTTATAAAAAACTATTTCTCTTAATATTCCAGGAATGCTTGCAGGAATGAATGAGACATCTACTACAATTACTGTTGCTCCACAGAATTCCACTCATTCTGTAATAATTCAAAAAGTAGTTAAGGCAGCAAACCTGGGGGTTGTTCCTTCTGGTCAAGATAACATACACAGGTAAGCTAAGACTGGCATTTGTTGCAGAAACAAAGTGATGCAGTGTCAACTTGATCTTACTCAAAACAAAGCAGTGCTCTGCAGTAAAGTATGGCTGATTTGGATATTGAGGCTGCTGCTGCTTTTTTGTAACCTGCATTTGATAACTGGAATGTCAAGCTACCTTCTTCATTCAGTTTTACCAGTGTATCTCCGAAAGGTAACGTTTTCAAGAGTGTCCCTGTGGTTTTGGAGCCTTGTTTCCTTTTTCAAAAGTGACTTAGGCACCTACATCCCATTGACTTTCATCAACAGATTCCAAAAGTCACACAGGCTGCTTGCAGACATTAAAAAAACAAAACAAAACAAAGCTGATTCAATCAACTATTAGATAAAAATGCCACAAAAGCCCCACTAAAGTGCCTGATCTTTATAGACACTTTAGACCCACCTTGAAGTAATGCACTGCCTCTTCCAGACATGAGCGGGGCTTGGTACAGGAATGCACTGGAGTTAAAATAAAGCACTGGGGGGGAGGGTTCTTTTTTAACGTCTGCAAGCAACCACCATGACTCTGTAAATACAAAGATGTGTCTCATGTGGAGGTTATTTATCCACATGTTTCTAAATACACAAGGCTTCCAAAAAATGAGATGCTGTCTAACAAAGAAATGAAAGTTTCCATACAGTGAGTGTGGGGAATTTCATAATTTATGTTAATCATTACCTGAGGCACATATCTACACTTTCTAAGCCCAGTTTTTTACACTAGTCTCTGCTGTTAGTCACATAACCAGTCAGACTCTGAGGATTTAGAACATGCAAGATACACTTTCCTGTTCTAAATTTGAGTTGTTTCTCCTCTCAACTGAGTTGTTCCTTGTCCCAGACAAATTCTAAAACACCAGTGCAGATAAATGCAACTCACCCAAAATCTGTGGTGTTGAATATCAAGTTGAATCTCTGACTGTTCATTAATGACAGCTATTGATGTACTAGTACCAAATCACTCACTACTGTGGACCCCCTTGGTCTCTGATTTGGGACAGAAGAAAACGGAAAAATTAGTGGTAGAAAATAATGAGTAGACAGATTCCAACCCAGGCTATTATTGCAAGACTTCATTCTGGCCATGGAATAAGTAAACAAATCACTTTCTTTATCTAGCAGCTACTAAAGCACATGTTCTCTGAATTATTCTGGACTGTGAATTCCCCAAATCATCCAAAATGCTTCTACTCAGTTCAGATACAAAGTACTGTTTTTTAGCATTATCCATTTTTGAGACAGTCTTTTTAATATGCTAGAAACCTTGTATCTCATATAGGGCTGATACATAGATATGTTCCTTGTTTCTTTCTTTCTTTTTTTTTTTTTTTTTTTTTT